GGACAGTGCTTCTCTGTCCCGTGCTGATTCCATGCTCTACTGTCCCATTCACACAAAAAACATGGAAATTTTGTATAATCGAATTGTTGACCCGACAACATACAAAGGATTTTTAATTCTCCACAAAATAGCCAACCATATTCTTTGTATTTGACCTTATTAAGAAGAAGTTTGAGATTTTCATATGTTTCCTTCAAGTGAACCGATTGAGCAATAGGAACAGATGCATATATGTTACCATTGTGAAGGAAAACACCTTTTAGTCTTCTTTTATATAAATACATGAATAATCACCACTTCTAGCTTTGGTATTAATTCAGCAATATTGTTGCAATAAACCAATGAACTTTCTTGCAAAAAGTATGGTATAAACTCTTTCTCATGATTTCTGAACCAGTAAAAGTTCTTAGCCCAAAGTCTGGTCCCCCAAATCTCTGAAGAATCCTTTGGAAGGCTCAAATCTTTCACCAAATCATTAAATTCACCTTGTATGAAAAGTTATGGTTTGTCAGATGTTTCAGGTTGAAAACAATCCCTATCATCATATCTATTGACATCAGATTCAGAATCAGATGAAACTGTATCAAGAGTCTCCGGTGGAGTAGATATAGGTACATCAGGTCCATGAGTAATAGGTCTTATAGCAAATTGAAGGCTCGGATAAGAAATTTCCTTTTTATTTCAAGTGTTGTAGCCTTGCATGTTACATGAGCAAAAAATAGCAGTCATCTCCATGGTTTCTAAGCTCACGCCAGACCATTGGAATTCCAAAAGGCAAAGACTTTTTCTTGCCTTTAGTCCATTGTCTCAACTCTTCAATGCAAATGATGGAAATTTTGTGTGGAGCCCATGATTTGTCTTGGTACCCAACTTTTATTCCAAAATATGCAAAATACACTTTTTTATGAATTCTGTAATGTTTTGCCTTTGTTTCTGTACAATAAATTTACCACAAATATAACAGAATATGTTTGGGTCATTTACACAACCATAGCAACAAATAGATAATATTGAAAATAAAAATATAATGTCAAAGAGCACGCACAAACTAATACTATCCAGAAATGACACAGCATGTGGCCTGTCAATCATTTATATACTAGCAGTATGTTTCTTGTGGGTTCTAGAACGATCAATAAGACTCTCACATCGAGATTGGTCTAGAGAAATCTATATCCATTAGTCATAAACATTTTAAGCATAATAAAATGTGAGCCAATTTCAATGAAAATGATTCACTTATGTAAAAGTACCTTTGCCGTATTGTGAAAAATCTGATGGAGCAAAATGGATATCATTTTAGGATTTAGTGTACTGGAATTACTGTAGAACATGTAACAATTTCAAGACAATAAAACCACTGCAGGCCTGTGTAATTAAGGCTTATACATAAGAATTAAGATTAAAATACTGTAAAAGACAAAACATAAGTATTTTTATATTGAACACTAAGTTTCAAGGAAAATGATTTAGTACATCTTAGAATATGTTTTCTAGCAACTCTAACAGATGAGCATAATTCGCATTTTTTGTAACTTGAAGAATTCAAACACATAATAATAATAACTGCAAATTTTTTTTTATATATTATGTTATGTGTAAGTTTGTTAGTTTCATGTATTCTTTTCAAGGTTTTTAGGCATTTTACTAAACGACTTCTTTACAAACTTTTAAAGATTTATGAAAAAACATTGCATGATTAGTAGGGTTATTTAAGTTGAAGTTTTTTATTCTTCATACGATTATCAACAGGTTATTCCAGATAAATATGATTCTACAATATCATCTGCTAAAGAATCATTTTTTACATATGAAGAGTCAACAAGCAGCATTAATTATCAACATATGCAAAAAGCTCATATCCATGTGCATGAATATGAGGAATTTTTCAGGCTTGTTCCACAAATGGACCAAAACCTACGATTGTTATCAAGTTTGGAACAAGAAAGAACACCACCTAAGTAAGTATTACCATTAGGTAGAATGTGAAAAGCTTGGATAAGAATGTGCATCACAGTCTGAACACTTTCATTTCAACCAAAAGCCTTCAAATGAAACATTAAATAAATGATGTATTTATTCAGGTCTTCATTTCACAAGGAAGTTAATTTTTTGCCCACATTTGCTGAAAGTCTAAAAAGAAGCAAACATATTCAAGACAAATCCTTCCCTGTTATTGTGGCAGTAGGAGGCATTGACCCTCAAAATCCAAACAGTTTAGCTACTGGTGAGTTCAGTACTGATGTAAAGAAGTTAATGTTGTATATTTATATATATTTTTTTTCTAGTCATCATAAACATATAATATTACAAACTATCTCATGTTTATACTGTAAAAGGATATAAGTTGCATACTTTCATGTAAAAGCAAGGTATCAGTGTCAGAAAATATATAACTAGATATCATATTTATTCTATTAAATGTAATAATGTTCCTTTGTTGTACGTGTTTATAAGTAAACCTTAGTATGTCATAAACTCCAGTTCAGGAATTTTTATATTAATTACATATTGATTATTTTTGTACAATTTATACAATAGTTTAAAGACTAATGATGTTATAATGAAGTTATATACTTTTTTTCTCTACAAGATATATGTATGATTACAAGTTTGAATTATACCTTCTAGTTGGTTTTAATCCAACCATATATCCCACTAAACTGAGAGAACATATATCAAAATGTATTTCATGTGGTACTAGACACTGCAGTTAGAAATCTTTGTATTTTTAATTTTTTTCTGTACCATGAAATTAGTTTTTTTATAAGGGCGAGAATTTATTCTTTAAGAATATTTATATTCCTAAGTTAGAAAAACCTTTTATAAAATTTATAAAATGACAATTTGGATACACAATAAAAGTAAAAATATTATGAAAAACACGGCATGCACTGTGATGAGAAAAATGAGCATCATGTGTATGTACAGGGAGCCCAAACATATGTTTCTGTGTGGCACCCTATACTTTATTGCATCTAGCAACATGGCAAACGGAAAAATTAAAATCATGAGCTGGTGTGTCCAGCCAATCACAGTTATCTTAACATCTCAACTCTCAAATTACAGACTTGTGCTTATACTGTTAACTGCCTGTAGGGTCCACATATTGAATCATATTCATTAATAATTTTATGTTTTTCCTGTATTACAACATTCTGACCAAAAATTGGGTAAAATTACTCATTTTCTATATAAATAGATAGAGGACACAAACAGTAATTACTGAGATTAACTGCAATGTTAATAGTATCTGTGAGTTATAAGTAATTAACATATTGTTTAAGAATATTCATATTCCTGAGTTAGAAAAAGTGTAAAATCACTCATTTTCTATGTAAAATGTATAGTAACTAACAAAGTCATGGACCTACAAGCAAATTTTTGTAAAACTAATGGGGGTCAGTTTACCATTGATAATTTTAGGGATAATGCATAGATACTTTGATAAAATTCAAAAGTGAAGTATTTTTTGTACAAAGCTTCCTTAAATGTATTTATAGTATGTCTTAATGAGCCACAAACTCATAGATACTTTGAAAATAAAATTACATTAATACTTTTATAACATTTTATTCAGAACAATTTTATGAAATATAAGATTTCACATATATTCATTCTTTGAAATGTATAAAAAACTATTTATTTCAAGAATTTGTTATTCTATAAGTTTTCTGTAGAAAAGATAAGTAAGAATAAGGGTAAGTGTTACTACAAGTCACATAAAAATATAAATTGATTGCATACAGATTTACAGCATGTAATAAAACCAGGATTATGAATGGTAAATTAGAAAGAAGTGCTGTTTTATATATATATATATATATATATGTGTGTGTGTGTGTATGTAAATGTAAGAATAAACATGATATAAAAATATTATTTAATTTAAATAACAAAAGAAATAGTATATCACTGGAAAAAATTTAATCATGTATTCCACAACATTAAAATATTTAGAAATGTAGAAAAAGGAACTAGTTTTTGTTTTGAACACCAGTATTCAAACATTTATTTTTACTAACCTTGTCTTTCGTGTTTTTTTTTTTCTAAGTAGCGGGATAAATCCTGATGATTTAGTGCATTTGGCTTGATATTTACTTTGTCTCATGATGGATACATGTATAATAAATGTTCAACTTTTATGTGGATTATTTTAACATTTTTATGTTATTATTTAAAACATCCTAACAATTTTTTTGAATATTTTATAAAAGGACAAACAGTTCTGAGATATCATCCCTTCAAAGACAGGTGGGAATTTTGTGGTACAATGCCAGAACCTAGAAATTACCATGCAGCTGTGTTTTTGAATAATGCTATTTATGTTTCTGGTAAGATGAGTTTCTCTTTTTATGAGGTAAATTTTAAGATGTGTTTTATTATTAAATGTATCTACTTTAGTTCAATTTTGTTACAGATATGGTGTCCTCTAATCATTCAGTGCTAAAATGACAATTTTGAAGTATAAACCTACAACTGACAAAATATATGTAAAGTGAACAGTGTTTGGTCATTAAGGGAACAGGGTTAATGCATATGATAGAAGTGATATGTTTAAAAATATAAAGTGAATTTAAAACCTCTATCATGACAGGACTTTGCCATGGAACTTTACAACTAAAGTAGATGATTTTAAAATGCTAATTCTAAATTCTCTTCAGTACTACTAGATTCTGTGTTACTATTCAAATGTGTTTAAAGGGTGCATCATTTAAAGGTTGCAAGATTCATGTATTTTGGGAAAATTGAGAACAGGTTATCCATAACATCTAATGGGATTGAAAATGAACTAATACACTAATATGTGATTAAACTTGTTGTTTAATATATATATTATATAAAATTCATTTTCACATTTTTTTCATTTTCAGAATCACAATATATTAAAATTTAATTTGACTAAATACGAGTATTGATTTAACTGAATAGTACTATTTTTACATATTGCAGCTTCAGTCATCTGTCTCTGAAGAAATCTTGTATTAGTCAAAACTGCTTGAGGTCAACTATTACAATTTGTCCAATATTATATTTAGATGGTCTGCCTAGTTACCAAGTTGATTCATATTCCTTTGTTTTCCCCAAAGAAATTAAGTGTATGAATACATGCTCTTCCCAAAAGTGATACATTTTTGGTGGCATCATACTACTTACGAAATGCATGCAAACATTGCCAAAATGTATTTCTGATGCATTCATTTCTAGTGTGACTTTATATTGGCTGTGGTTGTGACGTGACTTGCTGATTTGCATATACAAAATTGTTTTCATATTATATACTCAACCCTGTATACTATAAGTTACAATTAAAACATTCATGATTCTAAATAATTAGTCAGACATGTTGGAACTAACTGAGATAAGGTGAATATAACAATTCTCTAAGAAATACCTTTAACTACTTTTCAGTTAATGACTTCAATAGTATTTTTCTTCTGGTAGGTGGTTATGACCCTGAAAGAAGAAAATATGGAGAAATGGTGCCATGTAATAAAATGTGGGCTTTTGACATAAACAGTAAACACTGGGAGAAAAAAGCAAACATGATGGCAGCTCGAGCATGTCATGGAATGGTAACCATTCATCAAAAACTCTATGTTGTTGGTGGACGAGGAGGTAATGGAAGGTAAGTTACATTTACTGACAAAATTGTAGATAGATTGATGGTAGTGACAGCCTCAAAAATTTAACATCAAACATCAGGATCTAAATCTTTCTGTATTCTTCTGCTTCATAGTTGGGGAATGCTGAAGATTCCTACCTCATTAATCCTTTAAAAAACAGTGTTGGGAAGACTTATTGTGTTTTCTGTTGTTTTTCTTGCTTATTTTTTTTCCTAACAGCTGCTAAATTATGTACAACATGTAATCAACTCTTACAGTTTTGAGAGAATTTCACTATAGAATCTGTAAGAAGATCACTTATGACATAGATATGTAATATTCCTAAGGATGGTAGATCTCACCAATTTAAATTATCTGCTCTTCTCTTTGAAAATCAAGATGGTTTTCCATAGATATGTAACATTTAGTGTCTACTTATTTTTCTACTGTTTTTCATAGGTCTTATCCAGACTTGGTGTGAATCATGCTAAGTAGTGATAAGCTCATAATATTGCAGCAGGAACTCTATATCTTTATTTTTATTATCATTTGATATCCTCATATTCTCATAGAGCTAACCAAATAAGTTAACAAACAATATTTAGATAAGGGATACAAAGATGAAGAGTATGGCTGTGATTGGCACAATACATGTCAGTTTCTCTGTGTGTGTATGTGTATGCTTGAAATTTTTCACCTTTTACTTTGGAACATGCTAGGATATTCTTCACAAACTTTATAATATTATATTCCTTGAGCTGTGCATTAAGTCAGAACAACTTCAAAGGTAATAATCACACAGATTTCAAACCATTTTTTTGTGAAATTTGATCAAGTTACATTAAGATGAATATCCTAGGTAAATGGTAATTATTGTGCACAATATAATGTTTCTTTAGTGTCAGATTTGACCAAAGTAAAGATCTTAAGTTTTGGTTGACTAGAAACAAAAAGATGAGGAAAAAAGAACTTCTGATATATTTACAATAAAACCATATAACTAGTTTTTTGCTTATTAATTACCAACGTGTGCTTGCTGCAGGCAGATAACCCACAAGGAAGTAGGGTGAAGATAACAAGATAGTTAATACATTTTTGGGTTTTACTATTAAGTTAGAAGTCAGTCTTTTAACATGAGAGCCAGAAAGGTAGAAGTCATGAATAAAATGGAAACCTCAGAACTGATATTTCTGTTTTGTTACCAGACTTGTTCGAGTGATAGATTTTTGGTTCTGTTTTTTCATACATAATCATTTCTAAATATCATACACAGAACTCAAATCCAGTATATTACTTTGCTGTCAAATTTGTTTGAATTATTGGCTTCAGGTTCTAATGATGCATTAAAGTCAGTTGTGAAAGTCACAGGAATATTAAAGCTGTTTTTTTTATTTTCTTACCAAATTGATCACGATACTTGACAAACGTATAACTCATGAAAAGTATCGCAATACTTATTAAAATGATATGCAGAGAGTGTTTGGTCATTGTGCATTTGAACATGATAAGTTTATTTCATATTTCCTCTTTTTTTTACTTTCTGATTATTGATTTTTCTATTGCTATTAAACTTTATTTTATAGTAGTATATTGAACATAGTTAAACATTCCTTGTTCATTTCAATTGCATTTCTGTTAGCCTGTATAGTTTAGCTTCTGATGTACAGAAAATACAGTGTTTATGCTCAACTGAGGTAATATCTTCATGGTTATTTCTGGCAAGGAAAAAGGTACTAATGCAAATCTTGCATCTGATGTTCTTCTTCAGCAATAAATAGCTCTGTGTTGTAGAAATGAGTCTTTCTTTATGACTTGCAAATATGGATTAAACTATGAATTGGTAAAGTACAATGAGATTAGCCCTCAGATTATCAGCTTGATGACATATCATTTACTACTGGTGAGGTCCATATAGTGCATTGTAATGAGTAATTTTATGTTTTTCTCTCTGTCATAAGATTCAGTATGAAGAACAGACCTAAAAGATATTATGAAACTTCATATTTTCTACATAGGAAACACTAGCAGTAATTAGTAAGATTAATTATGATTTTGAAATAATTTTTACTCATATGTTATTAGGCATCTTGTAACTAACAAAGTTGTGGACCCATATATACATGATACATGAATAGTTTAAAAACATTTGTTTAAAATTCCCACAGGGGTTCATGTGTAGCCTATAGATATTTGCAGGGTTGATCAGGATCTGGATTTAAAGGTCCAAGTGAGAGGCTTAGATAAGTAGGTTTTAAGGGAATCACTTGAAATGCACCTTTTTAATCTCAGACACACTTTTTAGGCTAACTTATCTTTGTATGTGTAAGTATACAATTACTTTATATAAAAGGGACTTTTAAAGATAAAATGGAATTTCAGAAATTAATTACTCAGACCTAATGAAGAGATGTTTATATGATTTTGACACTGTTAACTAGTAACATAGCAGTGAAATAGTTAATAAAAATTAGTAATGGTTTAAGCTTTTGTTTTGATTTGCTGTAAAAATTTCTATTTGTCAGATATAATTCAGAATTTGTTTTGATTTGCTATAAAAATTTCTATTTGTCAGATATAATTCAGAATTCTTAAGATATGAGAAACCCTTGTAACTAAGCAAAGTAAATCATCTATGAAACAAGTATAGAATAGACTCCAAATACAGTAGTAACTCAGAAACTTTTTGTAAAATTGTTTGCATTTTTCTAGATTGTTAGCATCTCTTGAAGAATATGACCTAACTGATGATGCATGGCGCCCAGAAAGACCCATGCTATTTCCAAGGATGGGAATGATGGTGGTTATTTATAAAAAAATGATTTGGGTGTGTGGGGGCATAGTTGAGTGCTGTCCAAATGTAAACATAGCATCATTAGTCTCAAATGTTGCTTGTTATGACCCATTAACAGATCAGTAAGTTGGATTTTATTGATTGATTATAAGTTTATAAGGTGAATTATGCCATCTTATTTAGGGAAGGATGTCCTTATGGTTGTGATAAATGTACTATAACAGTTTCAATATCCTGATTTTTGTTATTGTTTCTCAAAATTAAAAACAGGAAAGTATAAAAAGTTAAACTAGGGGATATTCTAAACATGAGTGGTTGTTTTTCTTTTAATATACGTTTTTACTTTATATCTTTGTTATAGTAAATGTAATCCATTTTAAAAACTGTTTTCCAACATGGGAAGTTAATGGTCAATACCTTTTACTATGATATGACTAATTTTGTATAACTTTTTGAATTTTAACTGAGCTTCATCTGATGCAAAAAAGCTGCTGTCATGAGTATGTTGTACATTTATCCTTAACACTATGATATTTTCAGATTAAACTGATTTCCTCAGAGAGTATTAAGTAGGTTCACTTTATGATAGGAGGATCAGCAGGATAAGTAATGAAGTTATGCTGCGTTTTGAGCTAAGAGACTGGACATGATATATAATACAAATTGAGAATGATTTTTATTTATTCAAAGACACAAAACATGGTGTGTGTTAGAGACTGGATGCTGCCCTTTATGGGACTCTTGAATTGATTGACAGATTTTGTTCTCTAAAGATGTCTTCCTGTCAACTAACTTATTTGAAATCCTGTGTCAAGCTGTTTAAAACTAATGTTTCTTACTCAATGGGAAACCATTTTCATTCAATATAGGAAAGACTGTAACCTCAAGATATCATCTTTCCTATTTGTGTAGAATATTCTTGTATGATAAGCAGCATTACAGTAATACCTCATGCAAATAGGACGGGTATTATCTCGAGCGAACAACAAAGAAACAAAGGCAGCTAGAATGAAACCAAATTATTAGTTTTCTGGATAGATCCAGAATAAACAAAAATTTTGGAAATTTATTTATTAAAATAAGAAGTTATGAAATGCACGCTATGCTTGCATACCACAACACTGTATACTCTGTTATCATCTTTATTCTCCTGAATAAAAATAGTCAACTTTTTTGAAAGCACTTGAGTTGTGGGTCTTTTTTTTTTAATTCTTGAGTGCTGACTCTTTTATTAAAATCTGTAAAGTTTTTGAGAGATTATTTCATACCAGTATAAATAAATATATTTGTAAAACTTGTGTAACATCAGTGGTGCAAAATGTACTTATAATAAACTTTACTGAGACTCAATATGGCTATTTTTTATGAGTAAAATATTATTATGAGTTTCCTTTTAAGGTTATAATGAACTGAAAGGTAATTTTTTGATACAAAACACTCCAATACTTCAGTTTGTTTGATTATTTCTTTTCAAGCACAAAGCTATACAGTGGACTAACTATGCTGTGTTTACCTGATTTTTAGTGTTATAAATCCACAGACTTACCACTGAGTCACTGGGAGACACAATACTTTTGTCAAGTATTACTTATTTACAGAACTTACTAACAGAAGTAAAAAACAATGTATTCTTATGCAAGTATTATTTGATTTTACAAATGTTTTCGTGTAAAGTAAGCACTGAAGAAAATAGCATATATTTATTGTATGTGAGTAATGATGCTAATATAATTGAAAATAAACTACTTTAGGTATCTTGGATAAATAAAAGGTTTGAAACTTTTGGTCATCAACATACAGTGTTGATTAAAATATATTTAATCATTTACTGCCTGAACTGTTACACTATAAGAGTGAATTTCTGACTAAACATGGAAAGCTGACTGAGCATCCAATTACAAAATGTTTACACATTAAGCATTTAAATGGACATTTCTTTGAATAATGTGAAACCAGGATACTGATGGAATATGTGCATGCTGTTCTCTTATAATCTTCACTGTTATACAAGTTATCTACATCATGATAATATAGGTATATGTTGAAACTTCAGCTTTAGAATATTGTAACTGCATTTTATAAACCAAAACACTCCAGGTAAGCAGAAGGCATTCTGTTACTGACTGTGAAAAAAGTAACATAATTTCATTATTCACATTAGTAAAATTAAATCAAGCTTCATGAGTTTGTCAAATTAGTTCATCATAATATAATCATAAATCACTAACCTTAGTGTTTCAGTAGCCACTGAAATAACATGATGATAATAACAAACAGTATGTAACAGCTCTATTTACATTATATTTTAATTAATGAAATAATTATAGTCCAAGTCAGTGGTGAAGTCAAGAAAGAACACCAAATGGCCAACAAATAACATTAAATGTTTAACCTTCTACATCTTAGTTTTTGTTATCTTATTAAACATATCATTCACTACTTTGACTTTGCTTTAAAAAACATGAAATTTGCACCAGCATATAAACCACACACACACACATATGTATATATATAATTCTAAACTATACATGTGATTTGCTCGGTGGTATAACTATAAAAGATTCCCTTTGCACACTTACACATACAAAATGTAATTAGGCCCCCTACATTTTCGTATAACTGAAGTTATGATTCTGGCTGATTTGGGCCTCCTTTTGGCACAGGCCTCCCTGCAATTGCGGAGACATACTTACGCCACTGGGTTTACATATGTTAACCATCTGTACAGCATATGTAGTTCTATTTCAACTTCATATGAGATGATTTAATTAACATATGTATGAATAACCTTCAGTAGATAGCAGTATAAAAGATGGAGAAATAATGTAATTTTATTTAACGGAAAGTACAGAAGAGAAATTTCACACGCTCTGAAGTAAGTGGGTTTAACCTCGCACAATTCAAAGCTCCCAATGTTTTGTTGTATCACTGTGACAGTGTTTACCTGACATATGCACAGACTTTTATATTGCACAGTGTTAATTTAAGTGTTATTGCTCAGCATTTTTATAAAACTATTTTTATGTTCATTATTTCCAGTACTTGTAATGAAGAATTGAAAATAATTAAAGTTTAATATTATTGTTTAATAATTATTAAGCGAATTTAATAGATTTGAATGAATACTTGTGCTTTTACTAAATCATGTGTACAAATGTGTACTTGATCAAGTGTACAAATATAATAGCAATCTAAACTTTTCAATCTCTCTTTTTATATATCTACTTCTTTCAACTTTATTATATTATATTTTAATATAATTATTTATTATATTTGGTATATCATGAAAACTTTCAATTAAGCATTTTTGTACTTAACTAAAAGTAACTTTTAAAATTTTTATTTCAGTTCTGTGTTGGTCTTTGATATAAATTCCTGAAAAATAAATTCATATGTTACCTTTCCATTTTTTGTGAATTTTTTAATGCATCATAAAAGCCTTCATATTAACTAATATTTTATTTCTTGCATATTATAATTTAAATTACATTTTCTCAAGACAGGTTAATGTTTTTAGCAACATTTAAACATGAAAAATGTCTCTCTGTAATCCACTCATTTCTTAAGAAAACAGTATTGTTTGTGATGTCTCCTGATGGAACAGCTGTAAGTTTACGTATTTATAACATTAAAATCTGGGGTTTGATTCCCTACAGTGGATACAGCAGATAGGTCAATGTGGATTTGCTCTAAAACTAACAAACAAGTTTGTTTGTAAATTTTATACTCAAAATAAGAACTCAAAAATAAGCAAAGAAACATATTTGTGGGTTTATAATAGATTATGTTTGTAACATGGAAATATTTAGAGATTTACACAGTGTAATAAGGTTCTACTCATTTATCTCAGGTGGTTCAGCAAACGATCTTTACCTGAGCCTCGGGCTTTTGCCTCAGCTATCATTGTGGATAATGAAATGTGGTTGTGTGGAGGCTGCACAGGAACATCATCTGCTGGAAACTACTTTGTTAGCTCACCGTCGATTAATGTTTATGATCATGAAAGAGAAGAATGGTTGGAATACGATGTCTTGGATGTACCTAGACATGCTGGAGCAGGAGTGAACTTAGGTATTTATGTTATTAACTGTTTTTAAATACTTACTGAACATCATAGAATTGAAATATATTAGTCGTTTGAAGAGAATAAGTGTTATTTTTGTATGATTGTATATACATATTATATACAAAGAAATAATATTAACCATATCTCAGTAAAAAACAAACTGAAAAAGAATGAACAACCAAAACAATTGTGATCTGATTTTTAAATTTCACACATAGTTATAGAAGAGAAGTTTAGAAAAGTTCATAATGGTATCATTCTGGTTGATTAACTCCAAGTACTAAACATATAGTTAAGGTAGACCAATAGTCACCCTGAATTTTGACATTTATTCTAGCAATTGTTTTGAGTTTTCTAACCTAAATATTATTGCATAAAAAAAATTCATTGTTGCAATATCTTTTAGTTTTCTTAAAATAAAATAAAACAGGTTAATGTATATCCTCATAGAATTTGATGAGCTTAATATTTTAATGCATCCACATGTTCTTGTTGCTCTAAAGGCTGCTTGTGTTACTTAATCATAAGGAAAATTAATATCCATTGTTCAAGGTAACCACAACAAAGCTTCAAACGAAACAATTAGCCTTTTTACTTTTAATTCGTTGCAGTTTAGTTAACTTGACATGCAATCTTAATTAGAAGCCTGTCTAAACAAATTGTGAGTGTGTATTAGAGTGCTTCTTATTTTTTTAAGTTTTTATTTACCACCCCCCCCCCCCCCCAGTTTTTTTCCAACATATAAATAAGTCACACCAAATTTTATTCATTTGGGATAATATTTAGGAGCTGCTGGAAGGTTCTAGGTTATTCTGAAATTTTCTAGCATATAGTTAAGGAATATTTTAGCACATTCTAGTATGTTGTAGCTTATTCTAGAATATTTCTCAGTATTCCACAATATTCAGAATGTTCAAGAATATTCCATATATAAATATTCCATGCTGTCACTGTTTACTTCTGGAATATTCTGTAAGACATGACAATAGTTTCTAGAGCAAGTGGATTTCTGCTAGTGATCCTTTCTGGAGCAGGAGTAAACCAAGGTTGATTTTAGCACTGGAGAGACTGAAGCTTCTGCTGTGGCACATTTGCTGAAAAAAATAAGGAACCACTAACTGTGTAAAGGCAGTTTTCTTTGACACACCAGCAAGCAAAACTGGTCATAGCAATGGAGCATGAGTGCTGTTAACAAAGATTAAACAAGAATCTTCTGTATTTGGCATGTCATCACCATATCTTAGAACTTGTCCTGGCATGTCTTTTCAAATACTGTATGTGGCTTTCCTCTGGTTCAGATATTGCAATTTTCAGTATATTCCAGCAACCTATGGAATACATGGACCATCACTTATGAAACTGCAGTTGACCATGATGAAGTAGTAGAAGCTACAATGGAAGTTTAGGACAGTGTCATTCACGCAACTTCAGGTCATCCAACCTAGAGATGGTTATTGAGAACTTCTTGAACTAGCCATAACCCTTCTTGATGGCATTCTTCTTCATGGAGTGTGATTTATAGTACATAAAGCACTGCATCATGCATGATGGATGGCCAAGACATTTTATGCTCTCAAGATCTGGATGTTTATGGGACAGTTTAAGCTCATTGTTCATAAAGAAAGATGACTGTGACATCTGCATCTTCGTTGTTCAAGTCTATCTTAGGGCATAATTCACTGCTCCTGATGCCATTTTTATTCCTCACAATGATCTTAACTTCCTACAGTGTCTTGTTAAATATAAGAAGGTGAATTCTCTCTTTCCAAATCTGACTGTCAAAAATTTGCTGGAAAACTATGGTATCTCAATGACTAATACATTGGTTTGGTATTCTTTGATCCAGTTTTATCTACAGAGATAAAATGAGCAATGGTAAATGTACTAAATGAGAAGGAAGGCATGGATGAACCTCCAAAGCACATCTAGCTAAATGTTAGGAAGTCTGAAGACATGTCAGTTGAAAATTTCATCACAAAAAACACAACAGACTTCTTCAGATGCCTCAAAATTCCATCTGGAATATTATGACCCCGAGTTATGGGAGTTAGAGAGGACTACAAGAAGGCACTATAGACAGTATAACACTTAAAAGTGGTCAATTACAATGCTGAAAGGGGTTTGGCCCTTATTGAGGAGTATAATGCTATCATAACATAGAAAGAACAGAAACAATTCCTCTTTCAGGTTTTTCAGAATCATAGAAGACAATTTCCTAACAACACAAAAGGAAACAATAACAATGACTAACCACACCAAAATCATGTAATTATACTATTGTACATGCAATAAAGTGTTAATATACTCTAAATAAATCATTTATAATACATAATAAATATGTTTTTATATCACACAGTACCAGACCACTACAGTCTAAAACTTCAACCTCATTAAACAACCTCTAAATGTGGTACAAAATGGATGAAGTTTGACATTTAATTTTTTGTACAATGGAACAAAATTAAAGAGTGAGAACTTTAGGATTTTAAACTGAAATTTTACCTGGAAATAAGGACCACCCTAGTGTGGAATTTGTAAAGAAAACAGAGAACCATAAATCATTAAATTTCTACTGTAATAATCAAACTAATATGACGGATTTACTATTATATATCTATTTTAATATCAGTGTTTGTTTAAGTTAAACTTAAAAATGTACACAACTTATACTGTTAAGTTTGTATTTTGAAATTCCCACCCATTCACTAAAGTTATAGAAGATTCTCGAGTGTAAGAATCAACAATATATGTGTGTACTAAACACAAGTGTAGTGTATGTATTGTTATGTAAGCTGAAATTTCGAGAAACTCACCACACGCTTATAAATATAACCAACAGGATGCGCCAAAAGACAGTATATATTATTGGTGTGATATAAACTTCAGAAGCTATAACTGTGATTTACGCTTATTAATCGGGAACTTCAGGTATATTGACCAGGAACATTTATAGATTTCGAACATTAGAAACCATTTAATTTCAGTGGATTCACATCAAACTTTAATATTTTTATGAAAACATTACCTAACTTCATCGGTGAAAAACTCTACATTTAGTGAAGAAGACAAAGCTAGCTAGCTCCCCGTTAAGTGATTTGTACCTACATCAACTTGAAATTAACTCACTCATTGCGAACCCTCGATAAGATATCAAGGAAGTTCTAGACCAGAAAGAAGATTCGATATTGTTTCTAAAACTTTTGTATGTAAATCATTGTTTGTAATAACTATTTGTAATAACCATGGTTGCAAATTGTATTATTGTTTGTATATTAAAATATATTTGCATTAAAAAAAGAAAACTGTGTGTATCAATCTTGTTGCCAAATATCATAAATTGGATACATATCGCCATTTATTTAATTTCTAAACCTAAATTACAATTTAACCCAGTCTCAGGCTATTCGAAATTATAATACGTTGGGTAATAAATTGGAGGCTTGTCCGAGGTAAATTGTAATATGTAACACTAGCCATTGTATAATAGTCAAGATTATATCTACTTTTGTCTTTCTTAGAAATGCTTTTTATAGTTATCAACTAACATAAAACTGTGTACAGTTTAAGCTGACAGGATCCAACTGTCAACCTGCATCTGGTTTCATGACTGATTTTATCTGGCCCATGTTCACATTATTAATCACATGTTAAATTAAAAATTTATGCACTAAAATAATGAAAATCTCAATTCACTAAATCATATGAATATAATCTTATGGCTTCCTAGCGTTTAAATTGTCTATATGTCAAATTGATCAAAACCTTTGGAAAATAATTGGGAAATGAACTTAAAGTGGATGTTTTAGGATAAGCCAGCACAAATGGTGCTTTTAACTATTTTAACTATTCAGAAAAGTTCTGTGCAGAACATATTTTTTATCTTAAAGTCTTTTATGAAAAACAAATAGGAAATTTTTTTGGATAAAAACCGTAGAGGTGTTATATGAAAATTAATTAAGAAAATGTTATTAAAATGTCAAAGTTAACTTTTAATATTTTCTTGATACATTGGTTTATCATATTGTTTGATTGACACACAAAAGTCAATAGAAATTAATATAATGGGGCAGTGTTAAATGCTTAAAAGCTAATGAGAGGGAATAAAATCAGTTAATGAGTATAATATGGCAACCATCTTCTCTTTACTCAACCTGTATTGTGTATCAATGTAGCAATTTTGTGGTGCATAACATAACTATTTTCTTATTTCTATGTATTATAAAAATTTAAGTGGTGATTATTAAGAATTACCATTAGATTTGCTCCAACAGATTACATAAAATAAAGTGAATAAGAGTAAGTAACTAGACATTAGTATAGGTACTATTATCAACACATTTTATTAGGGCAATTATCAGTGAAGTAAGTTTAATATTATATCAGTGTGTTGGAGACTTAAGGTATAGTTGTATTTTGAAATATAGATAATTCAATCAAAACCTTAACCAATAAATATAAAGAAAACTTAGAGAAAAACAGAAAGTATTAACACATAAAATTGGGTAAACTACTCATAGCTTTTGGTGAGTTAAATGGCATCTACTTTCAAGGAAACTGCACTTAGCAAAATATTTACTCGAACTTTGTTGTTGATTATATAAGAAAGAAATCTGAGTCAAGCAGTATTCTTATGTAACATGAATGATGCTCAATTTATGTAAAATAACTTAGCAATATATATGTATACACAGTAAGTCTCAAATAGGTTAATTATGTGTAAGTTATACATAATGAAATAGTATTTTAAGTATTGTTATTAATTACTAGTGAAAGTACCCAGCTTCGCTCAGGATATTAAGTTGATATATTCTATATGACTATGTCAGTGTGTGTATTTTCAACCTATTGTAGCATAGAAGAACAGCCAAGAATATTTTAAACATTTATTTTTCAGGAACATAAAAAGGCCACAAAGAAAGTACAGTAAATTAAGAATTATTTATTATCAAAGAACTTTATCATTGCATTAAATATTTCACATTTAGATTTGATATCACAAATTTCTATCACATTTTATCAGAATCTGTTACAATTTTTTACTATTGCAGTACCTCAGGTTAGACAATATTGGTTGTTTTCCCAAAGAAATCATAGACAAACATACAGACATGCTCTATAATAGTATTATTATAATTAAAGAAGTGGTTCCTTATTTTACAAATTATAGATATAAATCACAGACAGCCAGACTCACATGTGAGTGTCTGTGTAGGTGTGTCCACCATAGCTACAAGAGGAAATAACTTAGAAACCATAAATTTTGCACCCATACTAAGTGTACCCTGAGGGTATGCTACTGGGTATTATTACTTAACCATGTGTGTGTGTGTGTGCTTTTTTTAATGAGAAAAACCACATAGAAAAAAAATGTGACTGCCATAGCTCCAAGAGAAAAGAACCTAGAAACTGGCAATTTGTGATTTCTATTCGTAATATAAGAAACCAGTTATTTTCTATGTGTTTTTTTTTTGCAAGCTTCCCTCATTACAAAGATGCACTCAAGCATGTGGATAAGTTAAGTCATAATACCCACGTGCACACCCTCATGGTCCACTTAGTACAATTACAAAATTTCAGGTTTCTAGGTTCTTTCTTCTTGGAGCTATGGTAGTCATATCTCTTTTCTATGTGGTTTTTCACTAGCTTGCCTCGTGAAAAGATGTACACATGCATTTGGATAAGTAATAATACCCAGTTGCACACCCTCAAAGTCTACTTAGTATGTGTGCAAAATCTCAGGTTTTTAGGTTCTTTCTTCTTGGAGCTATGGCGGTCACATATACACAGATATGCACATGCACACACACATATGTGTCTGTCTGTGATTTCTATTTGTAATATAAGGAACCACTTTTTTCTATATGGTTTTCGCTTGCTTGCCTAATTAAAAAGGTGCATGCTTGCACTCAAGTGGGTAAGTAATAATACCCAGTTGCACACCCTCAAAGTCCACTTAGTATGGGTTCAAAATTTCAGGTTTCTAGCTTCTTTGCTCTTGTAGCTATGGTGGTAACACACACAGACACACCCTTTTATTATTATTATAGATTACCAAATTGTTCATGCTTGAAATTCAATGAAAAGTTTTTATATTCTGTTAAAAGGAAAAACTGTTTGTAGACAAAGGTTTGAGATATGCTTATGAGAAAAAAAGTGAACTTGTGTCTATGGGAGAGATTATCTCCATAAAGTCAATCTAATTTATAGGTATCACTCATGTATTGACAACATTTTTCATGTTTTGGGATTACTTTTTATTCAAGTGGTGATTGAATTTTGAAATAAGTATTTTGTTTTGTTGTAATGAGGCATATTCTGAATTAAAGTGATTTTTTTATTTAGTTAGATTTAGATTTCTAACATACAGAAGTATCTTAATTAGAAACAGTTATTACCTTAAACAAGAAAAGATGGAGTTTAAAGTGACAATTCATTGGTCTATCACAGACTCTTGCCTTTTCTTCATGGGTGGAATGAGTAGTCAGAGATGGGGTGCTTTAGCTCGAAATGAACTTTATATAATTGAAGATACACTGACATCAGCTGATGATGAAGACAGCAAAGATGATGATGAAATACTTGTACCTGCTTCTCTGCCTACTCCACTAACAGGATTAGTTGCAGTTGTGATTCCAGCTGTCCATCCTGCCATGGGCAAATCCAGTCTCTGTTCTCTGCTAAGGCGTAAAGTAACAAATTACAGATTACAAGAAGATCTTGAGTCAACAAAGAAATAAAAAATTCTCAAAACTTTCATATTTATAACATTTAGTTTCGTTATTTATTTATTTTGACTGTACTTTTGTATAATAAGTAATGAATATTTGGGTTACCTATAAAAAAATTTTACAATCAAACTATTACACTGTTATGTATATATATTTATATACAGAGAAACCTTGAAATATACAATTATTTTTGGAATGAGAAAATAGTCTAAGTGAGATTGTAAGTGCTAAGAAATATCAATAAAATTATATTCTTTTATCGTGACGTTACAGTAGTCTTAAAGTTTTAACATTTTTCATAATTAAGGTACACCAAAATTTTTTTATAATTATGTACTCTTGTATTATTTGTTTTTGCTTAACTCTAATTCATTTTGAAATGCTGTTGGTGGTAGATTGTGTAAAATAAAAGGTATTTGCTTAACTGACCAAAATAATATGTACAAGAACCAGCTTAGTATAAACTTATATATATATATATATAT